GAGGGGCGGCGTGTGCCCCAAATAAGCTATTGATTTATTTATTTACTTATTTTACGCCAAAAAAAGTGTTAAAAACTGTGAGTGAAGTGCTACGGGGAGAAGTGTGTTCTGTGGACATTTTCCTGGGATTTCTACCCTCAGCCATGTACAAATTGAATTCTAAGCATAGAAAAACATGCGCGTTTTTGGCTAGAATTGATAAGAAATTTGTAATTTTCGAGAAACGATCATTTGAATAATATATTTCTTCCTGAACTCGAGAAGACATGTGCAGATAGTGAAATTACATTTACATGTCCAGAAGCAAAACAAAGGGCTGTCTCAGCATTCACTCAAAGGAACGAGATGGGGGTCATTGCCCCAAATCGCGAACATTTTCCCCTTCAGAGTATTTCTTATTTCCCCAGGGCGAATTATAGCTGCTAGCGAACTAAAATTATGATGTTGGCTATTTCAATAATGTGTAATTTTTTCTGTGAATATAATTCTGTTTTATAGTATGTGCTCTGCGATACAAGACCACCCCATATTTTTCAAATGAAATATTTAGGAAAAATCCTTGTTAATATTTCACTGTAACTCACCATATTAAAAAATTGTTATCTATCAGACACTTTAATTTTCAAGGGATCACCCTCAACTAGATCAAATTATGATGAAAGAGAAATATGGAAAAGCTAACTAGTAGAAAACAAACTGAGATTTTGAGCAAAAGAGATCAATATTTGGCTTCTGTTCAACGTTTTTTAAATTCATTTCAAGTACAATTTTCTGTTCATTTTCATCATTTGCTGATTTTACTGCAAGTGGGAAATCGGTGCATCGTGAGTTAAGCGGTTACATGCATACGGAGGAGGGTCCAACTGACAATTTTGGAGGGGGTCATCGCAGATTTTTGTTAAATAATATACTGTATATTATTTTTGTAGTTTATGTATCACACTATACAAAAATTATTTTTTTAAAGAATTACATAATTCTAACAATAAATATTTAAATCAGTTTTGCCAAATAAAAGATGGTAACAAAGGAAAACTCTAGGCCTTTTGGGGAGGCCCATGCCCCTCTCCCCCCCCTGGATCCCCCAGTTCACGCATATGATTAAAAGTACGACAGCACAACTAAGATACATTTTATATTAACCCCACAAAATGCAAAAATCTAGGGAGTCAACATTAAAACTTACATTTTTGCTGGTAATTAGTATTATAAGACAATTGAGCATGAGCTCACATAGGCCAGAAATAGTTTATAAAATGCTAATACTCTTAATTTTTAATAATAATTCTTATTGTGAAGGCTCCAGCATCACAATTTCTTTCATTCTATTTTTTCCTTTCTGAATTTCAGGAGGAGGATAGTCATTTTAATGATTTTCGAACTTGCCAAAGAGATAAGGTATGTTGTTGAATTACCCCTAACATTGAAACCCCCTACAAACAACTTAAATGACTATTGAACATCTACTGCAAAGTGAATCAAAGACTTGAGTTTTATATTCTTCCAAAGTTTTTCTGTTTTTCAATGAAAATAAAATAATATTTATTATCATTTTATCTAACTGCCTCAAAACTCAATATGCTACCTCACTTTCCATTTAGTCAAAGAACTTTAAATTCTAATGGATTCTTCATTCTCCTTCATTACTCATCTGGGGTATTTTCCTATCCTAAGATCTTTGTTTTCGTGTTTACTTAGTTCACTTATCAAAGATGATGTTCAAGCAAACCAGTGAATGTATCATTCTATAATGATACTGTAAGAATTACATTTTGTTGTATTCCCTATGTGTAATAATAAGTAAGTTACAATTCTACAGTTGCTAGAGGGCTGTGCATACCATGTATGAGCATCTCTATAACTTATCAAATATCAAGAGTTAATTGAAATGTTCAAGATCATTTTTACTAAGACAATTTTAAGAATGAAATTTTATAAATAGAAGATCAAGGAGGAGAAGAAAGAATAATTAGGAGATGAAGAGACAGAAGTGGAGGCGAATATGATGAAATAAGAGAAAAATAATTCTGCTGTTTAGTGCTGGGATGTACAAATACCCCATGTGATTTACTTTGTTCCTCCCGTAACCTGAGTAGCCACGTTAAATTTCGTAGAACATTTAAAATGAGATGAAGAAATAAAACATTAATATATTGCTATTAATATAAAGCTTGAATATAGGCTTTATTTGTTTTCCTCAGTATATCAGTTCTGTTTTTCAATTCATTCAACTCCTCTGTTTTTGTATTGCGTATCCCTGCACCTTTATATGATGCTAAAGCAGAACTCTTTACCTCAATAACAATCAATATAGAATCAATGTCCTTTCTAAGGAAAAAGTTAACCAGTTTTTATTTAATAAACATGACATTTAAATTGTTTAAAGAAATATTTCATTGAATTATATTTTTCAGTTGAAGTAAAGAACTTGAGTTGGAAAATCATGACCTAAATAAATGAAACAGGAGAATTTTCTATGTATTTGAGAATGTTGCAATAAATATTAATTATGGTATCTCTCTTTAAGTATGCTTGTGAAACAATAAAATGAGAACCTGTTCCATGTTTTGCACATAAGTAAACTACTACATAAAATATATACAGGACACTATGAATTCCACAAGAATTGGAAAACATGAAAGACTTCTTTTTCTAAAGATTCACAGCTCAAAAAATCTTTCACAATACAATAAACTGCTAGTATCTATAGTAAAATAAACAATCATTGGAAACATTACTGGTCAAATTATTGACAAAGGTGCTTTTTCTACATGTCTTATTCTGATGAACTTCAATCATTGATTCTAAATTCATGATCACGAGAAAACATCAAATTTCATACTGATTTTTTTCACTCCATTTCATAACTAATGTGAAAGAGTAATGGTACAATTGAAGTGTATGGGGTGTTTCAGTAAAGATTGATAAAAACCAGCATATTCCCACCTAAAAATTTTGCAAGAACATTTATTAATAAGACCACAAGTTGACACAAGATTTTTGTTTTTATAGTAAAATATTTGCAAATGGTATAAGCGTTAGGTTAGCACACACGTCACTTCCTAGTAATTATTGCATTTAATATTTAAAAAAAAAATAATCAGTTTTTATTACTCAAAACATTGCCTCTCTTACTACAGCATGTCTAACCACACAATATTTAAAAAGATTCTTAAATTTCAATTTGAAGGACTGGGAATAAGTTTTTAAGAATACTAATACAAAATAAGCCAAATGTAATTTATCAAAATGTCATTTTAATTTTACTGCTCATCACCAGTTACATAGGTTCAGAGAAAATTCCAAATCAACATTTGGAAAAGTACAATTCACACAGAAATTATACTTGAGATTTAAACACCCAAATTATATTCAAATAATTCACATTTTGTAAACAATAATCTACGAGAACAATTACATTAGAATGAGTAGCACCTCCACTGAACAGACAATGCAACATTAATGCCAATGTCTGATACAAAATTTGTTGCAAATTTGCATGAATACGAAAATATTTTAATGTTTTGCACTAGGTTTGTAAACCATCAATGCATTGTCACTGGAATTCATGGTGAATAATATAAAATCAATTAACACCGAGATATGGGCGTCTCCATTTTTATACACCTGTTAATTGTTCTTAATCATTTGCATTTTACATCAACAATAGAAAAAACCAAATATTGTAACAATTAAAAGAAAATCTCACACTTCTACAATTCCTTCAGACAAGGCATTAATTAACACTGAATTCAATATCATACCTGTCAAAATATATCCATATTAATTCAATAATGGATGAAATAATTTTTATATACATGAAAATAGTTTCCAATTTGTTATGTCGGATAATATACCATCTACTTGGTAGAAATTCTTCCACCTGTAAAATCAGTCCTGCAGCATATAATCCTCTCGTCCACACATACACTCGCATACTACGGAAGAAACAAAACTGTGCAGTCCCTGTGTAACTGGCAGTACGTACCGATTTTTACCATGAAGGTGCATAATATACTTTTTTTTTCATTTTTTCTTTTTATACAAAATGACAGTTTATGTACACTGGTCAGGCATGCGATGACATCACTATTTTCATGAATATGCTAGTGTTCAGAATCAGCCTCTAATTGAGATGAAAAACTGCAGAAATATGATTCTGCACTATCCTCTTTTGAATATTTTGCACACCCCTTAATAGAAACAGAGTTTAATGCAGTAGTATTACCACCACAATTTGTACTTATATAATCTACTCTACTCGAATCACAATAAACATTTTCTCCAGGAACTTAAAATCTTAACAATACTGGTAACATAAATACTCAAAATAGATTGTGATGAAACATAAAATATGCAATGAACATATAATATAATATATTAAAGTTGTCAACTATACTGTGAAGTAGAAATCTAGTGAAAAAAAAAGGGTCTTATCTTCCATGAAGAACGGGAAAGTGTCAAAATTTGTTATATACAAACTTTCATCTATGACATAAGTTCCACACTTTGACCCACGCAAAATTGTATGCCTTCTGCTGGTGTGCATTGGTTTAAAGGACTAGGTTCAGCGCTGGTTCACAACATAACTTCCTTACAATATCCTTATGGCACTTTGAATATGAAAGTTCCTTGATGAATACCACACATGATCTCCTAATAAATGAGGCATCTAGCAACTAAAAAGTTGATATTTTTTCGCCACATTACAGATTTGCTATTTCCAATTGGACACTTTCTACATCTCATGTTATGCTGTATCAGTTGACACACATCAAGAAAATTTACAAACAGAAAACATTAATTTTGTTTTCATGAATTTTAAATCTTTTTATAGCAAGAGGCCTCAGATGAAATGTGTAAATATTAAATTAACTATTATTTGTTTGCAAAACCTGAATTGTAGCAAATTATAACTGTTTTATTTATTGGCTATTTTATTAATCAAGTTTTGTCAGGTACATTATTTCCTGCTTGGATGCGAAACATTTAATAATACATTATGTGAGGTACGCTGAGTCACCATCATCTTCCAGCACATTCTCTGCATATGTTACAACTGATACTTCATTCACTGAGCTATGATAATCATGTGAATCACTGAGAGTTATTTCACTTGTCAAAACATCAGTTTCAGAGTCTACAAGGATAGAAACCTCTTCTAAAGACTGATTGTTCTCTGAAATGTTATTGGGCAAATCTATTGACCCATCAGTTCCTACAACTGCAACAACTGAAACATTTTTGAGCTCCGAATTCTCATATTCCTGAAAATTATCATGAGACAATTCACTCGACAATCCTTCAAAATATTCTATTTGAGCATTAAGTTCACTGAACACTTCACTATTCACAACACTGTCCAGAGTTTCTTGCAAAGCAACTGGATCGTAAGTGTGGACTCGGTGTCTTCTAAAGCCCAAGTGATCACGAGACATTTTCCCTGGAAGAGACCTACGATATGGTTTTCTTCGTTTCCCTGGTAGTTCATTGCTGGCCTCACTAGTACTCCTTCGCTTCCAAGATTTACTATAATGATCGGGAGCACCTTCGGATTCTTCTTCACCCGTCTTCAGCCAAGTATCGTGAAGAGCTTGCAAAATTTCCCCTTCAGGCAATTCTGAATCCATTTCCTCAATTTCCTTTAATATATGAGGTGGAATATTGATTTTAATACCTTGTTGGGCGAATGATGAACCCATCTTCTTATGGAAAGGATGTCTTTTATGATTCATTAAGCTTTCCACAAATAACTTGAAATCTTTGGAATCCTTTTCACTACTTGGTATCACATCTCGTTTCGGAGGAGGAGCAGCATAATGTCGTGAAGGGTCTTCTGGGTGTGCTCCCACATCTTTCCCTTGCAACCACAAATCATAACGTTCAGGTTGAAAGCGCTTAATGAAAGTCTCCATACTAATTTTAACTGTATCACCTCTACAAAAACAATGAGACGCTCGTTTTCCATATTCCACCCATCGAGGAGAAGCAAAGTTTGTGGATTCAGCACAATTGAAACCATGATTAAAACCTGCATGGTAACCGAATGGAAATGTTATCATAATTTCACCAGCTTCTTGTGTAATTTTATTATATGGTATGGAGTACTTTTTCAATACTTGTGGAGATACTAAAGTCATTTTGTGGCGAAGAAATGCAGGACATTCTTTTAATGCATCAGGAAAGAAACCATTTGCTAATCGTTCAAATCGACGACCATGCTCTGGAGGGATTGCATACCATGTCTTTGGTGCTCCAAAATGAAGATAATTTATACTATATAAATCCATATCTTCAGTATGCCAAGCAAACGTCGTTTTCCACATACCAAAATATAAATAGGCAGTATTTACACCAGCAATGCTCACACCATAGTCTTCATTAACATAGTCTAAAATGCTGCCCAGACTATTTATATTCCAAGCAGTTAGACTATCATCAGTGAGACTTCCTGAAACATCTGCTCCATATATCGGGGAACCATACATGATCTGTTTCCAGTAAGTTCTCTCCAAACTGTCATAGTCTGTGTGTTTTGGTGTTCTATGACGATCACTATCGGCAAGTTTTTGATATTCTTTGACAGTCATAGCTTTTCTTTGGACATTTATTTGAGTGTACAGTCCGGCTTTTCCGTCTACTACTTGACGAATAGGAGTGGGTATGGTGATATTAATGTCATCAATATCATAACCCTTTTGTCTTGGCACCCATTCTGGAGGAGGAATGATTTTGGCTAGTCCTGCTTTATGGGCTCCCATGGACTCAATATGTAGAATGTACTCGTTAAAATCTTTAAATTCTTCATATGTTGGACGAAATACCATTATTGTAGGCCCTCCAGGCCCACAACTGCTTCCTTCTTCATTCATTTCAACGTTTGCAGTAAACTATAATCTCAAGTTTTGAAGTAAGTCTTATTCGTTTACAGAAGCTATTTTCTAACACACTACACAAATTTTCTACAAAACAATTATAAATATCCAACAATATGGATAAAATCACGAAATTCGCTGAACACAACAAAACACTTAAACACTTCGCACTCCATTGCAACACGAAGCTGCACAAACAAGAGCACGTGTAACAACCGAGCTCTGGAGTTGGCGTTTTCACTAATTCTTCATTAATCACAGTCCCATGTTGACTTCAAATAATGTCTTACTGTAGTGTACACAATACACTGAATACTTGAATTATTCAATACAAGTTCAAACTTTTCAGGCGACGACGACACAAACATACGGCCATGAAAGAGTTGAGCACTTGTTTGAGGAAGTTCAGATATTCTCCGCTAGAGACGCTCGGTAGCTGTCGTTTCTGAAGAGGCCATACGTATTGCCAACTGTCCGAAACAATTATGTGGTCTCCGAATTGTGTCAAAATTTAAAAAATGCAAATATTTTTAATCATGGAGGAAATAAAGAATATTATAAATAAAAAAACATTATTATTCTGCTAAATATCTTCGTCTTCTTAAAGATATCGTGACAAAAACAGAAAATTGGATATCCTGATAACAGGGTACGAGTCCTTTGGTAAGTAATTGTTGAAAGGGAGGTGGTACATGGTTTGGCGTGAAGCTTCCATGTCTTCCATATCCACATTTTCCATCTTTACTTTTCTCCTTTCTAGTCGGTCTTGTCAGAACTTCGCCGTTTGGATGCGGTTGATTAAACTTTTCCAAATTGGGGAACGCAAACTTTCGTTCTTTCTCAAAATTCATCTAATGTGTGCATATCAACGTTAGAGCGTTTAGAATGACACGATTAGACTGATTTTGTATACGCTGAACGTATTCTTTGGTTTTTCACTATATTATAAACACGCCGTTATTATTTTGCTACTAACCCATATCTGCCCTATCCAAGTCAATTTCATCTGATTTCAAACTGTATTCTATTTTCTTTAGATGGCACAGCCCTCAGCAAACGGGCTTACGGACCGCACGCGATTTTTCCTTCCTCTTCCTTGTCTTGTCTTGTTCTCATCCCTTACTTACAATCACACTTACATGCACTACACTACCACACATGTCGCGAGACCGGTCGAGAGCTTAGACTAGAGCTGGCTGGGGCAGTACCAGCTTGTGGGAGATACCTTGTAGGAGAAAATCACGCAAGCCGACGGGCAGGTAGGCACCGGATATCACCATCCATCGGGTGAAGATCACCGTCATCTCTCGAGGAAAATAGCTTGCGCTACACTTACGGGACTAATGACCTTAGCTATTGATGTTCTCGGAATCACTAATCAATCAGTTAAACAAGTAAGCCAAGAAAAAATTACACTGGGGCGACATGAATCAAAATGGCTGCCGCCACGCACATTAATAATGAACCCAAGTGTATAAACTTCTAAAATGCTTTTATACTAAAAAATAATGATCGGAACTCGTACTAAAGTGTCTTGGCTCCACATGTCGCCTGGCCCTTCAACATTTTATTCGTATTCAACCGTCCCTTTCTGTAGTAGCTTCGTAAAGAACTATTTTAGTTTAACTGTTAAGATGAGATCTGAAATAGCACGTTGAGCGAGATCGTCGCCAGATCTCGCCAGGCCTCTTAGCCGAGATCCTCATAAGTTTTGGGAATCCATCGAGGTTTCGTAAAACAATATTTGCTATGTGTTCTACCTAAAAATAAGCAAAGCAAACACGTCATTTGTGTGTGTGTTAATCAGTCTGGGGTTTTCATTTCTCTGTTTATGAGAAATATTTTAATTCGGGAAAATGGATTTGATTTCATGTTGTATTGTTATTATTTTATTATTATTATTATTATTAATTATTATTATTATTATTATTATTGATTATGCTAAGTTTGTGGCTGGATTGAAAGTTCTAGATTAACCGTGATACGCGATCGGGGAGTTATGATGATCTCCCTGCATTAAATTTTTCAATAAATTAAAGTATATGTTATGTGTGGGTGCGTGCGTGTTTGTGCGTGCAAACGCTCGCGTGCGTGCGTGTTCCAAAACTTCTTTTAAAACACTGATGCAATCGTTCCGAAATTTTACACGAACACTTTTAAGGTAAAACACACACACACACACACACACACACACACACAAGGAGTCGTAATCTCAAAATGTTAATCTATTGTAAATTTGGGGTAAACTTTCAGTTGTTTTTCTTAATTTTTAATTTATTTTTATAATTTAAAAAAAAATGTAATAAAAACGAAGCAACCCGCAATGCGACTATGTCGTGCGAACCAGGACGGGACGAAGCTTCTGGAGCGGGTGGGACAGACAGTTGAAGGATGGATGGGGTAAGTAGGGAAAGAGAAACCGAAGGAGGGAGAAAGACGACAGAGGGGACTCAGCGGGGAGATTTGGCACAGTCCAGGTCTTCAGTGTTATTGAATCAGATGTTTCCAGATAACAAAAGGCACATGTTACAAAAATAAAGCATATCGTAAGTTTTTAATGCTGATGTGATTCTGTTGCGATTAACATCATAAACCAAAAATTGTATTTTGCTTAGTTTATACCGAAATGCGACGTTTCTTGTTTTCTAATTCTATTTTGTATATATTACAGCCACGGCCTAGCGGATGTAATCTAGGTTGGCAAAGCTGCTCCTACTACTACTTCTATGAATTAATGACAAAGGTCCAGAAAGGTTGATTGGTGTTCCCCGGCGACTATTATCTTTTCGCACATGCTGCCCTCTTATTATAATAAAAATAATATTAAAACGTCAAACGTCATCAAATGAATGGAAGGGAAAAAAAGAAATGAAAGGGAAAAATAGGTCGTCCGATTTCAACATATATGAAATAACCATAATGTGCATGATGTTTCTTTTTTTTAACGTACGATTTCAAAAATGTCATTCTTCGTAATAGTTGTTGAAGGTAATAGTAATTATATTGAACAAGTATTGCAATTTGTTTAATCTTAAAATGTTTTATAAATATATTATAACTATCTGAAACGGCACAGTACAATGATTTTCATTTATTTTTTAATGTCTCGTGGTACAGTTAACAGACTGGCTCATACTCGAGACAAAATTAGTAAGATAATTTTACAATTTTTTCGAGTAATACATTAAGGAGGGCAAAATAAACGTTATTTCATAAGCTTTAGAATTTAAAACATTGAACGGTTTTCCACTGATTCACAAACAGACGTAAGACTAATGCAAAATAGTAATTTTGAAAACATTGAACAAACAGAAGTTGCCCACAATCGGATGTGGAGGCGGATCAAAATTTCTTTAGTACAACAACAACTTTGCTCTAAAATTCCTTTGAACCTCGCAAGCTCTATAGTGTTACTAATGAGTTTACAAGACGACAAAACATTTCGTTGAAAACTGACATGCATAACTAAAAGCAGGTAAACAGCTGTGAACAACTGATTTACATCGAAAGCAATTGATTAATAAAAAAGAGCATCTAATTTCAGAAATTAGTTGACACACTTCAAAGCTTATTTAACATGATTATTTTCAATGATAATGAATCAATCCACAGAAAACATTCCTCAGAACCAGTTTTGATACAACTTTCTGCAAGCACTGAACCCAAGTTTCCAGACAAGTGCAGGTTGCTCACAGACACGCACTCGCAAAAAGATATAAAATGACTGTGGCTCGGCGCCTCGAAACGGTTTTTCCTCGAAAGAGGCTGTGCGGGTGAAAGCCCACGTGTTTCTGTGCACGAAGCGGCCTTTTACGTCAGCTCTTAACACAGCTGGGGAGGTCTTATCGGGACGTACGTTTCTCGTATCAGCTCTGGCAGCTTATCGTTCACTGTAGTATTACGAGGAACAGGCGTCCCTTATCGCTTACCATTACACATTTGATAACGTAGATTTACCAGACATAGGAGCACCTTCTTGACGTTTTTGAGAGAGGCCACGCCCTCTACTCGCAGCGGAATCAGCGACTCTGACTGGACGGTCCAAGGGTAGGAGTCCAAATGTTGGCGTATTTTTGACACTAGCTACATAGAGGAATAGAATTCAACCTCTGAGTGGGGGAGATTTCTAGTGTTAGTCTGCTGTTTTCAGGCGGCACCAGGCGAATGCCGGAGCAAGTACCCAAGGACCGCGCGCGACATTTCCTTCCTCTTCTTTGCCCTATTCTCTCCCCTTTCTTAACTCATGCATGCACTACATTAGCAAACATATTGGGAGCTTGGAGCAGGTCCTGGCTGGGACGGTGCATCGCTGCGGGAGATATCTGGAAAGAGCACTTGCCACCTCGCGGGTTAAACTATTCACTGTACTAACGGGTCGAACGACCAGAGCAGTTGATGTGCACAGACATCAATAAGAAGAAAATGCGATATCTCTGGCGTTTTATTTTTAGAGAAGACTCTAAAAAATCATTTAAAAAGGGGAAAAGGTTTTTCTTTTACGTTAAATTTTGTAGATTTATTAATGATGAAAAATGTTCATTCTAAAAATTATAACAAAAACCAAACAAAAAGCAAACATAGCACATACTTTCTCGCATCATTATACGATCACGATAAAAAGTATTTTCATATTTGATTACGTGAGTCTTTTAATGAAAAAATTAGGATTCGAAAAAAATTGCCAGTTTCCTACCAACTGACGATCCCCAAACGGAGGAGCGGAAAGGTTCTACCTGAAGGTCGGCCGGAGACGGATAGATAGAGGGACTATCAGGCGGGTGGACAGACTGATAGTCAAAAACAAGACGAGACGAAGAGACCGAATGGCGGAAGGACGAACAGGCGAACGAACAGTCGGACAGACAAAATGACGGTCAGACGGACGGATGAAGAGATGGGCGAAGGGATGGGCGAAGGGACGGACGGACGGACAGACTTACGGACAGACGGACGGATGGATGAATGGATGAATGGGCTGACGGACCGACGAACGGACA